AGGCAAGCATGGTGGCTGGGGGGGGGGGGTGTAGCAGAAGGGCATTGGACCGGTGTTTCTGCAAGACAAATAGCTGTAGTCTGTTCACTGCTCATGGAGCACTCATACATTAACTATACACTAATCACACACACACCGCTCACAAACCTCCCACACACCATTTGTACACCACTCGCACTCTACCTACACACCGCTCACATACCACTCACAAATTACTCACACACTGCTCATACACCACCTACACACTATTCCCCCACTGCTCACACACTGCTCACAAACAACTCACATACTACTTACACACTACTGACACACTACATACAAACCACTCACACACTACTCACACACTACTCACACACCACCTACACACTGCTCACACGCAACATCTGTGCGTTTAGTCTGATGAGCTGAGGATGAGCAGACTAAACAAACAAGCATCTAACTACCTTTCTTAGCCCCTGCCCCCCCCTCCTCCCACACACACACACACACACACACACATATCATTAATCAGCAGTGCCAATGCGATCACCCACACCCCTGGGGGATACTAAATAAAATGGCCAAAATCAGGAGTTACGCATTTAACACTGAAGTACGCATTTAACTTTGAATAAACAGTCAGCATTAAACGAGCCATTTTAGGTCTCACTGGCCCCAAAAGGCAGGGGGGGCAAACTCTGCTTTGTGTCTCTGGCTGAAGAAAACTCACATATATGTCACAAGACAGGTCCTGAGGAGTGATCCTATCCTTCGAGACTCTTTATAAATGTTGGGAATTGGTGCAAGATTCACACTGTGCCATATTACCCTCAGCAGTCACTGCATAATCTCCCACACTGGTTCAGCTCATACCTGCATTAATAAGCTGTTCATTAAGTGTTCCTGGGGTTTTCCTGAAGCACTTCAGTGTAATTGCCAGTCACGTCCTGTAGGAGAACAGACCCCGAGCTAATTCTGGATAATCTCGCAGGCCATTAATCCGCACGGCCGGTCTGTCGCGCACCCGTGGGTGACTTCGCAATCCAGGAAAGGCCCTACCTTCTGCCACCTCAGGCGCAGATCTGGAAGAGCTAATTGTCACTCAGGGGCATTCTGCTCACCAGACCGCTGCAGGGGGGGGCTGCGGGACAACCCCTGAACCCTCCCCAGGCGGTCCTGTTGTAGAAACTCCTCGGGGACGTCTACATTAGCTACACACTAGCTGTAAAGTGGGTGGTCTGCAATCCCATTGCTGGGGACACCGGGATCATTCCTAAAATCCATTCACCAGCCTCCTGACCCCCGACAGTAAGACTCTCCCGACACCATCACACTGCGGCACAGTGCTGTTGTACGTCCTGCTGGCCACACCGAGAACGACACGTGTGTGTACAGAGCTCATCCCAGCATGCTAAGGCAACTGGGCTGCGGGTTTGAGATAATGGAAGCAAAAAGAGAGGAAGAGAAACAGCCTGCCCTCCTTCCCCCATTGCCCCACTGCTCCCATCACTCTGTGAGTGTGAGCGTGTGAGTGTGAGCGTGTGAGTGTGAGTGAGCATGGGGGTGACACGTCCTACAATGAGACTCAGGGCTTCATTCCTACCGTCTTCAAGGTGAAAATGAGCGTCAGTCTCCACACGCTTCACGCCCGTGCTGATGATTTCATCTCTTTGTTTTGAGAGGAAGGGGATAAAATCACACAAACATTAAGCAAACGGTCATTTTATTTGCTTTATATCCTGTGGTGGTGGCTTTGGAGTAATATTACATGTGGCTATTTTGTTGTTGTCATGAGGGAATATTTTAATATTACAGTTAGATTTGTTATGGAACGTAAATCATCTAAATGTAAAGTAACAGCAAATGTTGCCCCTTCGGTGTATTATATATTTGTCACTTTATGCCATTTTTGTGTATGTTTTTTCTTCTGGTTTTGAGTCAGCAGATGTGAGAACACGAACTGAATATAAAGAAGAGCTCTAATCGTTTATAATAAAAGGGTAAACAAATGAATTGGTGCCTCACTCATACTCACTACCGCCCCCTGCTGGTCATCCCCCACCAGGGCGGTAGTGCACATCCAGGTGAACGACGTGAATGAATTCCCGCCGGCTTTCCGGGAAGCCATGTACCACGCAGCTGTGACGGAGGGCAAGATCTATGACAGCATCCTGCAGGTGGAAGCGGCGGACCTGGACTGCTCCCCACAGTACAGCCAGATCTGCAACTACGACATCGTCACGCCTGACACGCCCTTCGCCATCGACCGCAACGGTCAGTGACCTGCTGGAGGTCAAACATGTACAGTACACACACGGGAGATCATACAGGTACATTACAGACACACGGGAGAGCAGGTATGTAGAGTTCATGCATATAGGACATCATATATGTACATTACAGACACACTGGCTGGTGGCCCGTGAAGATATTTACCACAGTGCTGCTGTTCCACCTATCATGGTTACATCCATGGCATGTACAAATACAGAGAGAGAGAGAGAGAGAGGGAGAGAGAGGGAGCATTGTTCACACCCCCTGCCCGCACTTGCATTACTCAGGACCATCTGCAGCCTTTCGCCAAAGCCGGCGGGAGACGAGTGAAAACACTGTACTGTCACCCACCGGCAATGCTGCCACTGTCAGGTGCTGCACGGACACCGTGACGAAGGGACACTGCATCAGCCATGAGGATGAGGCTCAGAGACTCAGAAGTGGCCAGGTGGCCCCGGGTTCGAGGAAGCTCTGTAGCCCATTTGGGCAGGCTGGCTGTTAAGCCTCCACCCATCCACTCAGCAGGCTTCACCCCTTTCTTGCCTCCCTTAAATTATAACTCTAGCTGCCCCCCACCCCGCAGCCAAGTCAGATCGATCCGTGGCCCGAATCCCGCCACTCTGTGAGGTAATCTAGGTGCAGTTCTCTGGCTGCCAAACACCCATCTTGATGGCTTCATGTGCTCTGCTCTTCCTAGGAAACATCCGGAACACGGAGAAGCTGAGTTACGACCGTCAGGGGCAGTACCGCATCCTGGTGACAGCGTTCGACTGTGGCCAGAAGAGGGCAGAAGAGAGCGCACTCGTGCATATCGACGTCAAGCCCGTCTGCAAACCAGGCTGGCAGGGTGAGTGACACCCCACCCCCAAACCCACCCTCCCTCAGGCAAAGAATAGTTCAGATAATGCCACTTCCATATGCCAACGGGGCAGGGTGGGTGGGGCTTTGTGAGGCGTGTCCCTTTACTTAGTTGCTAGAGTAATTCCCATGTGACACTTGTAGCATTTTAAAGTTGCCTATCTATCAGGATGGATATGATTCACGGTGGCACATGGTGAAAGAGCGAGAGAGCGAGAGAGCGAGGGAGACAGTGTTGTAAAAGTGAGGACCCAGCGTGCAGCATGCTGTCTCCCCCGTTTCCCACCCATCCCCGCGCACTGGGGCATCGTGACCTTTACGGTTCCGAAACACCCTTCGCCTCCAAATTACGGCCGTAGCATGACGTGTGTCGGTGGGAAGAGCCCTCTAATTACCATGAGAAATCTGGCTGTCAGCAGCAGAAAGTCCTGATATCCTGGGGGCCTTACGGCGTACGTTCTGGCCCCGCCCCCCTCGCCAGTCAGCCCTCGGCACAGCGGAGGTTCCGATGCTGTTCACACCTCCCACATCCCAGAGCCTCTTCACCATTTACAAGCGGGAAAAGAACATTCTGGATGCACTCGTCCAGCTCGTTATCAGCGTGAGTCCAACCCCTTCCAGCTTTCCAAAGAGATTTAAGTTTTTAAGGGCCTTTGCGGAAGGAGCTCAGCGCTGTACCAGAGAGGGGGGGCTTTCAGACAGAAGCAATACACACACAGCAAGGGCGGCAGGGAGGGGGCCTTTAGTGAAAGAAAGATATCTGAGAGGGAGTGAGGAGAGACACAGTCGCTCGTCATGTGCCCCCCCCCCAAATCTGCCTTTTGAAGCCCGTCCTTCTCCGCTGTATGTTTTTTTAAAGGGGATTTAGACGTGTCTTTATGTACAGAGTGAGTGGCTGGGGGGTTTATCCTCCTTGCAAAGGACAGCTTCCCCCCCTCCCAAAAAAACAAACAGGGGGTGTAAATGGCAATGAAATGTGAAGTGGGCCACCCCCTGTAGGACCCCCCCCCGCTTCCCCAGCCTTTTCTGCAGTGGAAACGCGCTGATGTGTGTTGGCGGACCCTCTGCACATGGCCAGGCAGCCCTGCTCCTCTCTGACCCCCACCCCCACCCCCAGTCACACTCACACCTCACTCTCCACTCATGTCTCTCCTCCCCTCATAGTGGTGTCCACTAAAACTTGGCTCCGGGCCCCGCCGACCCCTGGGTAATGACACACTTAATCCAGGTTGTCTCCCCCACTCCCCCCCCCAGCACCAGTCAGAGCCACCTGAGTAACCCCACTGTCATTTAAGGCCCCCAATAGCCGGCGATCAGAGTCAGGGTCGGAGCGACACTGCTTCATATCGCCTGTGCCCATACCATCAAGTGACCCCTGCAGTAAATATGAGTGCACCTGAGGGGGGGGGAGGGGGTTAATGTTTGGGCCGAAACGTGTAGCGTGAGCCAGAGCCCCCGTTCACCAGCGACTTACCTCCCGCCGATTCTTGCCCGCTTTCCGGGGAGCTCCGTAAAAAGCTGATTTGATCAAAAGAACTGATCAGCAATGAAGTAATTTCAGATAAGGGGGGAGGCTAAATTAAAAGAAAGGAATGAAATCAGTTTTCCTCCAGGACTCCCCCGGGCCGCCGTGTTCCGCCTGGAGAAATCTTCACTTCCTCCAGCCATTCCTCAGGTCTCATTCAGATCTTCGGGCCTGATACAGCCCATCGACTCCCTTCTATGAATAAGCTCATTCCCTCCCTGTCCAGCCCCGGACTCTCTGACTGTAGAGTCGCCCCCTAAAGGCCACGGTGCCTGAGTATCCCCCACTTCCTGTTACAAAAAGCCAGAAGTTGCATGCATGCGAATTAAAAAGAGAATAACCACACAGGCTGCTGGTTCTGTTATATCAGAGGGAGATTTACAGATTTACTAACCCCATAGTTGGGGGGAGCTGATTTTCCACTAAGATTGATTTGTGATGCTTATGTGACCCAATCCAGCAGTCTGTTGAGCTCTTATCGTTTGTCCATTAAGGTCTCTTCCCATAATGCAATGGGTCCCAATATGGACCAGGTTGACTGAGGACCAGACCAAGGACACCCCTTGACATATGTGACCTTGAGCACGGTGGCATTAAAGCTATATCCCTGCTCAGTGCCCAGAGCTACTGGAAAACACAGCAGGGGTGGAGGGAGGGGAATCTCCCTCTGATCTCAAAGGAATTAAATAATTAGCCGTAGCCACAGAGCATCAGGGTCTCCCACAATAGCCTGACCTTCTCCTAGAACACAGAGCTTTCATAACACATTTCCTGCCTGGACACAAGCAGCGTCACATACAGCACAGCACACAGGCTGACAGCAGACAAACACCTGCTTAACAGGCACCATATGAATTAGCGCCATGAATCCTATAGCAGAATAAGGCCAGTTCTTAGCTTATTAGGGCTGTCACTATCAATCAATTGGACGATTAATTGAGTAACTGCTCATATGTAATATAATATAATATAATATAATATCAACATTGCAATTGGCATGAGGCAGGAACCAACCAGCCACTACAGGGTGTGGACCCATTAACACATACGGGCAGTTTAAGGCACTCTACTGAACTTAAGTTGCATGTTTTTGGACAGCAGAAGGAAACCGGAGTAGAAAAGCCACGCATACAGAAGGTGAACATACAGACTACACGCACCTTCATTTTTGCAGTGATTATCTTGACACGAATCATAATAAGCAAGTAATGAGAAGTAATGAGAAAGACAGGCAGTGCTACTCCGAGAGGCTAAACGGCAGGTATCAGTACCTCGCATTATTGGGTCCATCAAACCTCATACATCTTCTTTTAAGGTGTTTTTTTGCATTGCAGTTGTGCTGTGGTGATATTTAAGTTCTGCTTTACAATACTGACAAACAGCTGCATCCTCTTTCACTATTAATGTGAAGTGCTTCCACATAAGAACATAAGAACATAAGAACTATACAAACGAGAGGAGGCCATTCGGCCACATAATTGATGCTTTGCTCTTTATTTGGACCCTATCTGCTATGCGGCATCTTCCTTCTGCCATATTGCTAAGTAATCGAGAAGGCAGATTTTAATCGATGCTTTTTAATAGTAGAGTTGAATCGAGTAATTGTGAAAGCTCTATAGCATAGTGTCCATTATACACTATATTGCCAAAAGTATTGGGACACCTGCCTTTACACACACATGAACATTAATGACATCACATTCTTAACACATAGGCTTTAATATGGAGTTGGCCCAACCTTTGCAGCTATAACAGCTTCAGCTCTTCTGGGAAGGCTGTCTGCAAGGTTTAGGAGTGTGTTTATGGGAATTTTTGACCATTCTTCTAGGAGAGCATTTGTGAGGTCAGGCACTGATGGTGGATGAGAAGGCCTGGCTCGCAGTCCCCGCTCTAATTCATCCCAAAGGTGTTCTATCGGGTTGAAATCAGGGCTCTGTGCAGGCCAGTCAAGTTCCTCCACACCAGACTCGCTCATCCATGTCCTTATGGACCTCACTTTGTGCACTGATGTGCAGTCATGTTAGAACAGGAAGGGGCCATCCCCAAATTGTTCCCAGAAAGTCAGTAGCATGAAATTGTCCAAATGGCTTTGAATGCTGCAGCATTGAGTTCCTTTCACTGGAACTAAGGCACTAAGTCCAACCCCTGAAAACAGCCCCACACCATAATCCCCCCCCCACCAAACTTTACACTTGGCACAATGCAGTCAGGCAAGTACTGTTTCTCCTGGCAACCGGCAAACCCAGACTCGTCCATCGGTTTGCCAGACAGAGAAGCGTGATTTGTTACTCCAGAGAACACCTCTCCTTCTCCGGAGTCCAGTGCCGGCGTGCTTTACACCACTGCATCCGACGCTTTGCATTGTGCTTGGTGATGTAAGGCTTGGATGCAGCTGCTCGGTCATGAAGTTCTCTATGCACTGTTCTTGAGCTAATCTGAAGGCCACACAAAGTTTGTAGGTCTGTAGCTATTGACTCTGCAGACAGTTGGCATGCGTTGTCCCCGCTCTGTGATTTTACGTGACCTGCCATTTTTTGGCTGAGTTCCCAATTGCTTTCACTTTGTTATAATACCACTAACAGTTGGCTGCGGAATATTTAGCAGTGAGGAAATTTCTCAAATGGACTTATTGCACAGGTGGCATCCGATCACGGTACCACGCTTGAATTCACTGAGCTCCTGGAGTGACCCATTCGTTCACAAATGTTTGTAGAAGCAGTCTGCATGCCTAGGTGCTTGATTTTATACACCTGTGGCTATGGAAGCAATTGGAACATCTGAATTCAATGATTTGGAGAGGTGTCCCAATACTTTTGGTAATACAGTGTATTCACTCAGGGTGAAGACCACAGAACAGGGGCACTTCTGCAGCTGTTCACTTCAAGATGCACACAGCAGATCACCAAGGTCCTCAATGCCCCTGTCAGGACATGGAGAACTGGGAGAGAGAGGTGGAGATGGGGGGGATTTAAAAAAAATGCCATTATATTTCAAACGCTCGCTGTATTGCCTTCGGTCAGTGTGCACACCCACCCACCCCACTGACACGATGTTGGCGGCATCATTTTGGGGAAATTACGCATGTTAAACCTCAGTTTAATTAGGCACATATAGCACCTTTCCCAACACAGCAGCCTGATCACAGTAAATATTAATCACAGGGTGGGATTATCCTCTTTCTACATAAAGAAACTTATTTCCCAGCAAGACTTGGGTGGGCGGACGTTTGCGCCAAATGATCGGATCCCCCGAGCCCCTGTCCCCACATGAAGCCTCTCTGTAGGGGGAGCTGGCCGGGGGGGTTATCGCGGGTGCAGAGCGGGCTGGTTGTGTGCATTCACACACTGTCCTCATTATGTCTACATGGCTGCGCTGCGTGTGACTCGGGTCTAAAAATAATGCAAAGCCAGAGCACTCTTCCAGGTGTGCGTTTGTGCTGCGCTTGTGCTGCGTTCAGGTGTGCACTGTGTTCTCACGTTTCCTGCTGACGGTTTGGTCCAAAGCGACTCTCTGCTTACCTACACAAAACGGCAGAGTCGGCGTGTCCGGCCCAGGCAGTCGCCTCTTCCCTGCCGCCTCCTGCTTTCCAGGCTCTGCTTCTCATATGAAAGCATGGCACCTGTCCACCAAAGGCGGCAGGGCTTCCGCTCAGGACTATGCTCAAGTGGGACTCGACTGAGTAATTCTGTGGGTCCCGGCTGGTTCTTTGGTCCGTTTCTCTTGCTCCACCGGGCTTTGCTGGATGTGTGACAGAGCAGGTTAATCACCAGATGTTAATTATGTCTGTCTCTCCAAACCTCCCCCCCCACCCCCCAGGTTGGAGCAAGCGGGTGGATTATGAGCCAGGAACTGGCAGCAAGCAGCTGTTTCCCAAGATGCACCTGGAGACATGTGAGGGGCCGCTGTCCTCGGTGCGGACCACTGTGGAGCTGCAGACCAGCCACATTGGGAAAGGCTGCGACCGGGAGACCTACTCGGAGAAGTCCATGCAGAAGCTTTGCGGTGTGTTCGCCGAGCAAAGGCGACCGCTGGGGGGGGGGGCATTCATGCAAATTAGCCGCTTGGTTCACCGCGGTCTCCCGTCCACCGCCATTGGGAGTCGGGAAGCTGGAAACTGTAACTAAACCGGGAATTTAGAGTGAAAATTACAGCAGGGAAACGTGTGCATTTTACGTGTCGTGCTGCTGGTGTGATTTATTGGCCAGCTGGTTTATTTATTATTTACTTGCGCTGAAGATCGTAGCTGTGGAAGTTGTCGGACAAGAATTTGTGGTGTTCTAAGGACTGAGAATCGGTCTTGCGTCCAAGGAGGATAGTGGTGCTGGATTGGCTCCCCGCCTTCTCCACTCGCAGTCCAAAATCAAAAAACAAGTCCAGATGTGCTCTCTCTCTCTGCACATCTGTTCAAGCCTTGTGTGCGACTTAAGCACCGGCCGACTCCAAATCCCGCCCCATCCCCTGTGGTGAGACCTATCGCGTTCCTCCCCCCGAAAGATGGATTTCCTCCTCAAATCTTCCTGAAGGTGAGGGGTGTTTACATGAGACAAGGGGGGCTTTGCCACCATGGATCGCCGAACAGCAGCAAATCTCACTCCATCAGTAACAGCCCTGACCGCTCCAAGCGGCCTCATCTGCTTGCGCAGCACCCTGCCGGCATTTTCTATGTGTGTTTTATCGCAAAAGAGCCCCTTCACAGCCTCGCAGTCGTTATCAAATGGAGTAAATTATAATTGCTTTTTTAAGGCAAAATCAATTTAAGATAATGCAGAGAGCAATAGCGAGGATGCAAGGATCGCACAGAGGCAGACCAGCGGATTTCCGCATACACACTCCTCTGCCAACACACTCAGGGAGACGATGATTGCATTTTACAGGGCGGGAAAATCAGGAAAAGCGGGATAAGGAAGTCCCAGAATGATAGTTTTTCCCCCAGAAGCACTCTTGAGTTCATATTCCATATTGTCCAAGTGCGGATCTGCATGCAGATTCCCAGATTTCCCTTCCCAGGGAGCAGTTTGGGAAAATGGGAAGGGGCGGGCAGGCATGCAGGACCTGTTTGACAGCGAGAAGCCAGAGAGGCGCTTACCCATGCTCCTTCTTGGAGAATGGCCATCATCAGGAAAAAAAAGCAATGCCCACCAGGATCAGGCAGAGGAGGGGGCTGAAGTGATTTCATTTAAGTCAGGCGAACATGTTTCTCTCCACGAAGGCCAGCAGCTTGAGATGTCACAGCGCTGCACGGCCGGCTCTCAGCACCGGCATGTCATTGGGGTAAAATCCATAAGCTGCTTTCAAAACAAGGCCACACATCACCTGGTCAGCTCCGCGCCGCCTTTGTTGCCATGGCAGTAATATGTGACGACATCCTCGGGATCGATGTCGGGCTCGGTCCACAATTTATCCCGCCGATTAATATCTGTGCATGTCGATGCTTTCATGTCTGACAGGCCGACACGATGATGAGGGTTATTAACTCATAAGCCGTCGTAAATCTAGGAGACTGGTCGGCATGAATTTTTTTAGATAAAGTGCCGTCCACCCTCTGGTTGTCATGGTAACCCTTCAGGAGCCTCGTCGGGCAGCACGGACCTGCTCCCCGCCCCCAGCACCTCCACCAATTGGACGGCCTCGCTGTTGACGGACAGCGGGCGGGACAGCGACCTTATCTTCCGCTTCGACGGACGCCAGGCGGCCAAGATCCCAGACTGGGTGGTGCCCCAGAACCTGACGGACCAATTCACCATCGCCACCTGGATGAAGCACGGGCCGAGTCCGGGCCTGCGGGCGGAAAAGGAGACCCTGCTGTGCAACTCAGATAAAACCGGTGAGCGGGGTGGTGACGGGGCAGTGAGGTGGCGGGAACTGTGGGGCATCAGGGCGATGGGCCGGGCGGATGACGGATGGTGGGGTGGTGGGTGAGGAGGATAATGGGACAATGGATTTTTGGGGTGGGGGGGCTGGGGAAGATGGGGAGGCGGGAATGATGAGACCATAGGGCAGCAGGGCTGTGAGGCGATAGGCCAGGAGGACACTGAGGGGGCGAAGCCACAGGTTGACGGCCCAGGGGCCCACATGGGAAGAAGGACCAGGGCCAAGGACAGGCCAAAACTTCTTTATGGGAGAACCACTCTAGGCACTTGAGTCTAACTCTTCAGGCACCAGTATGTGTCTGACTCCAGCCCCAGCATGAGGGTTAGGGTTACACTTCAAGCATCCTTGAACAGTCCATTGTCACAATACAAATGCTGCAGGCTCCTTGACGGTACATGGAGCTCTGTAGAGAGAGCATGAGTGTAGAGATGCATCTATTCCTCCACATCTTGAGAAAAACCACCCTGTCCACGATACTCTCCCTGTGGCACTACAATTATGGGCACATAACATCATTTGGGTTTGCAGTTATGCTACTCCTGGCACCACTAGGGGGCGTTTTGACTAGATGCCAACTTTTAAGTGTTTCTCCCCCTGTCTGACATACAGAAATGAACAGACACCACTACGCCCTCTATGTCCACAACTGCCGATTGGTCTTCCTGCTGCGGAGGGACTTTACCGAGGCAGGCACCTTCCGACCCGCCGAGTTCCACTGGAAACTGGAGCAGGTGAGCATGCACCTTGTCTCGGGGGGCGGTGGGGGGGGGCACCATTCCCAAGGTGAGCATCTGGGATGGGCGTCATACTCTGATGAATTGCATTTTTTAATGTATGTTAAAGAGGCACCAGAAGGTGGAACCACAGCCTCACACCTATCGGGCTGGGAGTTTGACTTCCTGGCCTTGAGCATATTAAATATTTTAATTATTTTAAAGATTTTATCAATCTCAGGGAACTAAAAGTATATGTTTAAACAGTGTGCCCTGTGAACTCTAAGGCCTGTGATCCATAAAGCCTATGACCTGTACGCCTGTGACCTGTAAAGCCTATGACCTGTACACCTGTGACCTGTAAAGCCTATGACCTGTACAGCTGGTACCCTGTATGACCCATGACCTGTACGCCTGTGACCTGTAAAGCCTATGACCTGTACAGCTCGTGACCTGCAAAGCCTATGACCTGTACAGCTGGTAACCTGTATGACCCATGACCTGTACAGCTGTCACCAGTATGACCACAGACATATTTGGCCCATGACCTGTATGGCCCATGATCTGTGAGGCTGTAAACTGTATGACCCGTTACCTGTATGGTCCATGACTTGTTCAGCCTGTAACCTGTTTGGCCATGACCTATGTCACCTGTATGACCCATGGTATGCACGCTCGTAGCCTGCGTCCCCATGAACTGTATGGCCCCTGAATACCGATGACCTGTACTGATATGTACTGCCTGTGACCTGTACATCCTGTGACTTGTTTGACCCCTAAACTGTACGGCCCGTGACCTGTATGATCTATGAACTGTATGGCCCATGACCTGTACGGCTTTGACTTGTTTGGCCCATGATCTGTATGGCCTTGACCTGTACTACCTGTGACCTGTACGGCCTGTGTCCTGTATGGCCTATGACCTATATGGTCACGGAACTGTATGACCTATACTGCCTATGACCTGTACAGCCCATGACCTATACGGGCCATGACCTGTACTGCCTGTGATCTTTACCACCTGTGACCTTTACTGCGTGTGACCTTTACTGCCCATGACCTGCATGGCCATGAATTGGTGCCTCCCTTTAAATCCATACCCATCCGGAGAAATGCAGGGATCTTTGAGAGATGACACCCTACTGTGTCAGCCTGTGGCAGCTGGGAGGGTGGTGCATGAGGACCCATCATCGTCTAAGGGCTCAGGGGTCAGACCAGCTGTCAAATCCCCCAATAGGCGGAGAGCCACGGACAGCTGGGCACTGGTTGGGGGGGAGGTGATTAACACCAGTGTGAAAATAGAAAAGTCAGTTGACAGGAAGCAAACTGGGCTGAGTAGAGGCAAGGGGGGCTGTGCTCAATGGCAGGTTTACAATGTCTGTCACGACTGAGGGCAGTGAGGACCGCTCTCCCTGCAACTACAGGAAGGGGGTGCTAGAGAGCATGGGCTTGCGGGGAAAACAAAGCCTGTGGATGTGCCAGTTTAATTAACTTTTATATTTTGTTTGCCTCCTCCTCAATCTGTCTCTTCAAACAAAATGAAGTTTTAATACCAGCAAACCCAGCCAGCCCACCGAAAACAGCAGCCTCATTTTAATCTCTCGCTTATCGGAACTTTTTAATTACTTCCTGCTAAAGCCAATCAGGGGCAGTGGGTGTTTCTGGGTAGGCTACTTGGAAGCACTCTGCCAGCTGCCAGCGGTGCATTGTGGCTTCCCGAAAGTGGAGGGGGGTGGGGTCAGTGGCAGGGGGGTGTCGGGGGTGTCCGTCCGGCACGAGCGAGCAGTGCAGCAGCTTCAGAGCATAGGGGTCTGGGGAATAGCAAGCTACACAGAGAACCTTCCAGATGTTCGCCTGGGCGTGGGATGCTGCATCCTCGTTAGCCTGCTCCGGTACACTTCACAGAAATGATCTGCTTCACAGTGTTTTGGTCAACACGGGTCACGCGGCAGGATGCTATCGCCTGTTAAAAAGCATGTCCCCACGCCGGGCTGGCATTTCTCATTCACTGCTGCTTTTACACGTTTCCCGAGATGCCCAGATTAAGCGCCTTAAGCCCCTGTCCGACATGCACCGCCACCCTGAACTCAAGTCCTGCGACTGTGCAGGTTCAAGAGTGGCCAAAATACTGCCTGTCCAAAAATCAGCGTCAGAGCTGTGTTATTCCACTGCTGGCAGACTGCATTTTATGGCAATTGAATGGCAGGTGAAGTCTTTATTCTTTTGGGTCGTCTGTCTGTCTGGGGCAGGTGGGTAACGGCTGATTAACACCCTCGAGTAAACAAGTTTGCAGTGTGAAAGCGAACGCGTGAAGACAGGGAAACGAATCGCAGAGATATAACACAGGGCGTGAATTTAACAGTGCGGCTAACAGGCCCTATGCCCAGACAGACATTAAAGTCAGGAAGAGTCCGGAATTCAATCGCTTCCCGGCGTGCCACTTCTCAGACCAGACATATTTTTCCTCCTCTCTCCTCTGCATCTTACATCTCACCATTGTTTTGAAGGGGGGTAGGGAGGGGGGAACAAATTTATGTGCTGTGCTGCGGTTTGTTTGTTTATCTTTCGTTACCCATCAAGTCTGCTTCGCCGTGCTCCCTGCACTGTCTCCTATGATTTGTTTTCTTGTCCTGCTTTAGGTAGCTGCCGTGTTTTGTTTGTGGTCAATAAAGCACCTAGCAAGCCTCTTTGTTGGCGGGGAGAGCTCTCCGTGCCTCACGCTGCTCCCTCTGCCTGCCTGATTGCCGACAGCCCTCCCTGACCCTGCCTGCACTCAAATGGAGCGTAATCGGCAGACAATGGCAAAAAAGGGCCTTAATAAAAGCAGCTGGGGGTCTGACACATGTTGGGGGCGCTGCTCGACTCCCGGCTCCATGTATGAGGCCACTATACATCCTGAATGTGAGCCACCTCTCTCCCCCCCTCCCCCCAAAATTAGCGGGACATTTCATTTCAGGGAATTTGGACCAGAATCCCATGGGAAGTGTACAATGGATCTCTAGATCCTGCCACTGGGCCATGGACAATGTTTACATGAAAAAGACTATTTGATCTGTTTGAATATTGTCTCCTTTGTAGAGCAGCGAATGTGTGTGTGTCATGGGGGAAGCTTCTCATACCCTGTTATAGATCCTGCTATACTTACAGTTCTGAGGCTGGTTACTGGCATGTTCTGCCACCTACAGACCTTTCCATACTTTGGCACCCAGCAGCAGAAGAGCTCCCCCTACTGGCAGCCACTGGTCTGTGAGAAGTCATGTGACCATCCTTTTCATCAGCTGTGTCTGAATGCAGGTGCTGCATCCTTCTGGGGCTGCACTCGAAGAACGAATGCGTGACAGCGGTGCAGCAAGGCCGTCCCATTTCGAAGGCTCCTTCAAATGCAGCCTAGACAACTCTTACCGAGATCCCAAAATTCATTGCGTGAACATTCAAAGGATGCAGCCTATAAAGGCTACACAGACTGCGTCCTTTAAGGGATGCAGCCCCCAGATATGGACACAGCCATGGTCTTGAACTCAGAGCTTTACCCGGAGCCCTTGCTGCTCTGAAGACCTACGAATCCAAAAGTGAATCCTAGAATGGCCTTTGTCATTACTTATTGAAACAACCTGTCATGGCTTTGAGGTGATGCTCACTAGGGAGAACATGACCGGCGTATTCACAGGTAAGCTTGGCTTTCGGTTCCCCTGAAGAATTTTGGGGATCCTGCAATGACAGCGACACACTGAAATGTCAGTTATCCTGTCTCTGTACGGGGCTGATCCGCCAGACCCCACTCGGATCGCCAGCATGAGACCTCTTACGGGCCAGCAGGAGACGCGGGCCCGGCCTTGGAGCTCGGCCTGCCCGAGCTGGCAGGAGAACTCGCGGCACCTTTAGGACGCTGCTATTCTAAAGCTGCTTTTTCTTCACGCTGAGTAGCTCCGTCAGTATGAAGCTGGGCTGTCAGATGGATTACTTTGAGAACGAAGCTTTTTTTACTCTAAGGAATCTGCTGTTATCTTTATCCAGGCAGAAAGGACAATATGACATGATTTAAAGGGATACCAAATTAATTATGAGGCTTTAATCTTTCGAGTGATTCTTTATTTGCCTATTGGACTCGCTGTCTCTCACTGCCGGTTGCAGCCGCGGTAAATCAGCGTGGCAGGTTCACCTGATAAACAGGCTCCAGCTCTGTGTACAACGTGTCTGACTGCGTCGCCTCCAGGGAGCAGGATGCAGATTAACGGGACCCACCTGTCACTGACAGTCTAGGGAGTAGATTAATAGATGGAGAAAGGATGTGGGCAGGGCTGAAGGGGGCATGGCCTGCACGGAGAATGCGCATGGGTGGGGCTGAAGGGGGCGTGGCCTGCATGGAGAGAAGACATGGGTGGGGCTGAAGGGGTGTGGCCTGCATGGAGAGAAGACATGGGTGGGGCTGAAGGGGCGTGGCCTGCATGGAGAATGCGCATGGGTGGGACTGAGGGGGTGTGGCCTGCATGGAGAGAATACATGGGTGGGGCTGAGGGGGTGTGGCCTGCATGGAGAGAAGACATGGGTGGGGCTGAGGGGGTGTGGCCTGCATGGAGAGAAGACATGG